ACAAGCACACAGATTCCGGCACGACCTGCAGATTCTGCGCCCGACAGATCCTCGATTTCTGTCCTATCTTATGGCTCTTTGGTTAAACATCACCATAAAATGGGCCATACACGCACAGCCCCGGATGGTTCATTTCGGTAATGTGACGAGCAACAGATTGGAGAATGCAAACGGCCGCCTTAAAGATCGGGTGCACCAATCTGACACGTTAGAGCATGCAATTAAAAAGGTGTCCCGGAACGCCGAGTTACTCATGCGGGAGTTCGAGATGCATACGTCGTACGTACCCAACTGGCGGCATATCCTGGAGGGTGACGCCTACGTTCTAAACGTGGTCTTTCGAATGACGACATGTGCATGCTGGCTCGTCTTGAGGCACTTAGGTCCGCGACGGCCGCCGCTGCCTTATGAAAGTGTTGGAACAAACAAGGTGAGGTCGACCTACGTAAACTAACTTATAGTTTTTGGTGCAAACACCAAGATGCCCACAGACTGTCGACACCCGTGCTGGGGAATTCACATGCCCTTTCTTCCAGGCTATATGGCTCCCCTGCATCCATCTGTTCTCAGTACTTCGAGATCAGTCTGTTCCGATCAGTAAGAACTATTCGTCATTGACTTGTTCTTAGCTTGCTTCCCAATTCACCAACGATGGCTGTCGGATTGCAGCATACCGGAAAAAGGTGTGCCACTTACACTTGTTCCCAGCTAGATGAAGGAGACGAAGATGACTTCATGTAACCATCGGCTCCGAAAGTTTTGTCTATTAATGAGGCCCTATGCATTTCATGTAAGTCTCGCATTTCTTGAGAGGTGCAGTAAACAGGCATGCGAAATAACCGCTGAAGATGGCATTGTGTAAACGGGCATCTACGACAACATAGTCGCTGGAGTGAATTTTAGGGTAGGTATCCCTAGCAGTTTGTCGGCCGCCAGCCTTATGCTGATATTTCGATAACCTGATTTATATCTTCCTCTGATTTCAGGACTTTAACGGCCAAATGAACACTCCTCACGAAGAAGAGAATCCGCCTCCCAGGAGGACATATTTAAACTTCTAAACGACCAATATATCTCAACATTACAAGACGTCCATTTGGAGCCTTTTCTTCTGTACAGATGGATGGGTGCGCATCGTGCACCCCTAGCCGCATGTTAGTCATGTGTGTCGGTTAGTTTCGTTCAGCTGTCCGCTATGATCGACGTATGTTCCATGTTTCTAATCGATAAACCTCGAGGTCTTCTTAGCATAATTCGAAACCTTAAATGGAAAAATATACTTTTTACCGGCAAATGTGCGCGACTTTTGGCAAATAAGTAACGGGGACTGTGGAATTTTAACTGGCTACAGGTATCATCGACCAAAATTTGTTTGCATGAATGCACCTACGCATATTTTGCAGCTCCAAAGGCCATTTAGATTCTAGAAAGTTTAGGAAATTTTTTCCAGTGGTAAACTACCTAAAAGTTACGTTTGTTGTAAGCGAGTCAACGTTTTCCACAATTCGCGGTTTCTATCATCAGGCAACGTATTAAAAGTCGGTGGTGTTTATTGACCTTGATCATTCGCTCACTTAAACAAATCGCCATACCAGATGATTTTCAATAATACAGGACCATATCCATTATACATAGACATTCTACACTATGAAGTAGCAAGCCTGAAAATGACGTAGATTTCGAGAAATCTATCTCATTGTGCGACTAGCCAGCGGCCTCAATATTTGGGTTCCCAGTATTCGCACAATGGGGCAGAATTTTTGAGAGCCGACTTGTCCCTGATGGACTAAAGCAATCAGGAGATTGAGTTCACAGTACTAGTCCAAACTTTTGAGCCCCGTTTGGGCATCCTGGGATCTCAGAAATGCTGGGAAATTATTCCACCAGACTTTTCCGCCATAGGTATGATTGCTTCGTTGGACGATGAAATTTATTGGGCTGCAAAAATATGAGAGTAGATTAGAGTGTTTTTTGGTTTTGATTTTTTGATTGCATAAATAGCAAAATAAAACGTTCTAGCACAAAAAGGTTTTCTCTGCTCTTCAATGGTTTGCAGCTAAGTGCATTGTGCTGCTAATAGCCCCACAATGTCAAGAACTAGTTAAACGCGTATTGAGGAAACTTGGGTAGTTACCATATGCAGAAGTCACCTCCAGCAAATTGCAGTGTATATTCCAGGAAATCTCTTGCGTTACGTTTAATTTACCAGCTAGAATGTCAATAGATCACCACAGAATATATGCAGTTAACTTAAGGTGCTGATCACTGATCTCCCCCTGGTAACATGATTTCATCGGAAAATGGGTGCCCAAAAGTAAAGTTCGCACTAGACCGTAAGCATATGTGCTTTTATGCGCCAGAGAAAGGTCAGCAAAGCTGACAATGCGTTGCAGTCGAAATATTCCTCAGAAAATGACATTTCAAAGGCTGTCGAGCTTCTATGTGTGTGATTGTCTTTCCCGTAGCAGACGAAAGTGTCCTGAAGCTGGAAAGACGAAATAATTAGCATGATCCTAACCATATATTCCTTCTGGGGAGAACGTGGTAAAGCGGATGACAAACGAACCCAGAGTTCGAACAGGGCCCCTTGCATCTAACAGCATATGGTACGGTGTGATTATATGTACCCTGTCCGTAAGGCTGAGTGATATCTTATGTAACGGAAGAAGCAGTAACTCGTTAAGAATGGTTTTCAAGGTTTAGCTCCAGAGAAACCGGACTGTGTTCACATCATTGGCCGGTAAACTGCTACAGCGCTTTGAGGAGTTGATGTTCTCACCAGACAAACCCAAGTAAGGGGCTTATTCGGGAAATATTTAATTGGCAAAACCAGGCGGCATCATAAAAAACCAACGGTCCTCAAAGTGCCAGAGCTGAGCCTCCAACTCAAGGCAATGACCAATCAACTCCTTACTAGGGCATGCGTGTGACAAACCAGTAGACATCCGAGTGTAAAATTCTTGGGGGTAAGATTGGTTCGAGGCAGTGAAATCTACAACCTGTACATCCAGGATTGTTACAAGGCTCTCAAAAAGCAAGCCTAGCTTACTCCCGAGAAGATGCAGACTAGCAGTAGCGGCCACAAAATCATGTGCCAAACGTTCTCATTAGCAAACCACTTAATGGCATTCACAAAAACTTCACGTGGTATCTTTATACCCTTTTTTTTAGCTGCTCATTACGTCAACTCAACTGACGGCGACAGTGGAAGTAGAATGAATTTACGGACAAATACTATACGCAGACACAAGAGCTTTGATTATGTTTTCCCGAAATGTTCCACACCCTCAAGGGACTATCTAAACTGTCAGGCAAAGCATGTTTTTCATACGGCAACCCGCTGAACTATTTTCAGACTGTTAATGTCTTTTAGGTTTCGGAGGAATCAGGCTTTCTGCGGCGGTGGGATTGCAAAATATTTTTATATATCGGAAAATAACTGCTGAGCTCTAGATCAATAATAATGGTTATCACAGGCACAAGAGCATAATATCTGATAGAATCCACTTAAAAGCAGATAACAATAACAATGTTTGGCCCCAAGTAGTGGGTAGAATACCTGCAGGCAGTGAGAATAAAATCATGGCCGGCAGAGTTTGCGTGTACAGGGGATTGCGCGAAAAAGGGACAGTGTCGTATACGATGTAGACACAGTCACACCTAGGCCAGCACTAGTATGGAAGCGTGGTTGCTACTGCTTTTTGTAAGATTACAGGGCTGGAGCAAGATGAACTCGTTAGAATTTGAAGGTGTCGGGCAAATGCGCAACGAGGAGGGGCCTTCTTTGTCAGATAGCATTCCCGACACATGAAAAAATGTGCCAATTGCGGAAAACGGGTGGCCAGAATGACTGAGTTGGGTCACCCGGCCGGTCATTTTGAACTAAAACCTAAGACCGCCTCAGCGGCCTCGTGGCCTTGTATTTTGAACCTATCGACATGGTCATCAAAAGCGCAAGTAGGGACGATTAAAGTGAGGGATCAGCAGCGCGCAAAACAGTAGCGGGGATTTCAGGATCATGTTGCACCGTTAAACTCCAGAGATTCACTGTTGTCGCTGTTGTGATGGGGCCGCGTGTGAAAGATCCTTGGAAGAGTAGACAGGAGATGACACACGTACCGGAGTGTGAAATGTACAGGAAATTATTCGTTTTGTGTGGAACACAAACTGGAACTCCACTGGAATGGTTTAATCCGAATGAAAGAATCACTAGAATAGAGTGGACGCGTCTTAGAGGAGGCTGATGCCAGGCGAAGTGTTTGTCCGTATTTGCAGTTAATGTAAAGAGTGAGAGAGAGGATACGATCAAGAGTAGGAAGAGAATAGTTGTGGGTGTGCTACGGAATTGATTGTGGCATGCTGTGCTATCACTGGTCTGATATACCTCGCTTTGTATGGCTCCATAACGGGTGTGATGAATGAGGTGATTGTGCGGTTCCGTGAGGAGCGGGATTTTTCAGGTACGCCGAAGAAATTCGCACATAGAGCCGGAATCCGATGCAAAATCGCAGGTACTTTTTGTCCAGTTGGGGATTCCTGTGGACGCTAACCACAGGCCAGATTCAAGGAAGGAAGACCACGACGAAACACACCGGGAACGGACCGACCGCAAACAGACCAATTTAATGGACGGTGAAAGTGCCTTTAGGCGCTATTCTTGTATGCTGTTAGTGGAGGGTTAGAAATCTCATTCATATATATCATTGTATGCGTACTTGACAGATATGGAGCAGGGCCTTAGAGCAGTCTGAAATAACGGGCAGCTTACAACACGTTGTCTGAAGTGTGAAAGTTTTCATATGTAACCGGATACTGAAGACCACAAATGTCTCGATTGACAAACACAAGCAGGGTAGCTGTTCGGATACCCAGAAAGGAGCCTCTCATTGGTGAGGTTTCCATTGAGGTTGATCACGGGCTAGATACTAGTTAAGATATAGATGTCGAGGCTTTGGATTCAATCAAGTCAAATGATATCATTTTTGAGAATCAGAGGTAGAATGGATTTGGCGCGCAGTACTCTGGCTGAGTGGATTTTACAGTGGGTCTCCGTCCGCTCCCTTGATCGCCGTTACGGATATATCTGTGAGTGCACGTTTAAAGACGAATGAAGTCCCTGAATCATGAGCCTCAAGTCTACATCACTTGATCTTATGACTCACCTGTATACACCCATTACCTTGCTGCCACCAACAATACTTGTGATTACTGAATTTCGCTCAAGGATCAACCGGGTTTGTGGTGAACTTGGTAAATTAGTGTAGCAGCGGTCCTTTCCCCAGCTTAGCTCCCAAGCTAGCGTTCACGTCAAAACAGCCACCAAGGGTGCAAAGACTATTGATGCTCAGAACGAAGTCAGGAACAGCTGTACAGCTCCTCGTATATATGGCGTAGGCGTTCATAACTTTCTGAAATTTCTGAAGCGTTCTGGAAGCGCCATTGACAACCGGCATTTGGCCAATACTGGGTCATGATTAGCTGTTGGGTCCAGACTCTCGACCAATCAGATCTCGGCTGGACGCCGGACCGGCAAGCGTCCCGAATTCTTGGCCAGTCTCGTGCGGGCTAGGCTTATCGGCTGTAAAAGCACCTGAAGGCGTGTGGCATAGCGGGATCCATGTGGATTCCTGTCTAACAATTAGCCTCCACAACTTTGCCAAATTATGTATCCCAATGATATTTCTGAAGATGTACGTGAGTTGTAATTTGAGTGTAGTTTTTTTTACAGAAACCCTGTCGAGTGGAAGCGGCTTTCTAAAAAATTGTCTGGCTACGCATTACATTTGTACCAATGCAACCAATAAATCAAAGCAAAGTTCACCGAGGGCGGTTGTGTATTTTTTACTCGCGGGTTTGACATGTATGAGTATGACGAACTGCCGTTAGGCGTTGTGTTACGATAATATGTACAATTGGGTTTTATGATATGTTTCATGCAAAAACGCAGTCGTAGAAGTTACTAGAAGTAGCCAAAGCACGCGGCGACACGCGGATTATTAAGTATGGCGGCCCGCCATTGGTAATAGGATTAGGCAATCATGCATGGTCTAAGCCTCATAACTAGCGCCACACATTGACAAGCCAACCAGGCGTGCTAATTATCCAAATTGAAAAACGTACGGGTCTGAGTATAGATATGCGTTTTTGGACATTCGTTCGGACTGTCATGCATAGTTGAGGCCTAGTAAACATGGACACAGGCCTAGCGGTCACGATAAGTGGCCAGGGTAACTGAAAACGCTTGTGTTCATCATGATGAAAGGAAATGGTTGAATTTTTGTACGGCCAAGCTGTTGTGCCCCGTGACGTAATTCAGCCAGGTGGTCTCATGTTTTCCAGAAAGAAGGATTCCTCACGGGGTAAATACTTCTGAAATCGCTGCACTATTTCCTGAGTGGTTGCGCGTATACGTCTGTTGGCATCATTGACACAGATGCATACTCTCATCAACGATGCGCGACGCGTGAAGGTACCTGTTTTTATGCTAGACGCAAGGTGAACTCTTCAAAAATGGCTGTGCAAAAATTCGGTGATCAAACACATCCAATTTGATACAACAGGCGAGTGTAACGCACGACAACGTTACTCAACTATTCATTTTGGTACTGTAGAGCTTATTTTTCACTGCGAAACATTGAAACAGGTTGAAACTTGATTTCCTGCCTTGTTTCTTCAACCGGTAATCACCTGCGTATCAGCGGTGGTTGATGATTCTAAGTGTTTGCCCATTTAAGCGATATTCTTTAGGGAGCATGACTAAAAATGCAACTAGGTTAGACAGACTAGTCTTAGCATTCGAAACTCCGAAAATCCCATAGTTTCGGCGAACTCAGTTTCGGTTTGCTTTTAGTGAGAGACCTATTTTGATATACTGTCTTAGCCCGCTAACAAATATGATCAGCTTTAAGTAAACTTATGCTGTAGCTGGCTGTTTAGCCGTGATGACCAGTGGAAGAAGACGTAGCTTACAATAAAACCACCTATGCACAACCGCAAAAATCCTACTCCCTTCGCTCAACTAGGCAGATGAGGAATCATATGTCCTCATTCATATGGCCTTATTCAGAATGGCCCTAATGATAAAAACACCATCCCCTGATCTCTGTCAATTTGCACTAGAACACAAAACGTACCAAAGATATAAATTTTACTTTCGGTATTCCAACTAATTGCTAAGAGGTACGAAGGTTGTTAGAAATTGTATAAGAGGTGCAGCCGGATCAAATATCCTCTAGCAAAATTATGGATGCCACAGTAAAGGCATTTGGGCAATATTAACTGACACCTCTGTCAGAGTTCACCATTAGCCTTACGCAACTGTCGATCATCCGTCAATATCAGTGATGTGTCTTATGGTCCGATGCCACATATGCAGGTCATCGGCTATTGAGTATAGCGATAACCGCCCATCCCTCTTATGAACCCCTAGAAAAGCTTTGAGGGTGTCCTTGTTAATTATGGATATTGCTATTGCTCAAAACAGCATACAATGTAACAGGATAGTTGGCGCCTTTGATACGAGCGATCGATAAAACAAGTGAGCAAGTAAAAAGCTCAGGAAATTGACTTCCATGTTCTGGCTCCATGTGGCTTGCTCCCTCGATCATCATTGAAATGCCATTAATCAAGGAAGTTAAGCGCTACCTCAGAGAGATTCTTCCATGGACAGCTAACTGCTCAATGGCGTTTATGTTTTTTAATATTTTCAACTGCTGCAGTTTGTCGTTCACTTGGTCAAGTTTTTTCCGCATTCCGTCAAAGAGTGCTGGCGGCATCGTAGAAGCAAATGTAAACGGGTATTGCTGTAATTACAAAACCGCCATCGGTGGATAGGGAAAATTACGGAAATGCTCATGGATAGGGTGACCTATCGTTTGCGCAAACGACTCCAGAGTACAATGATGAAGCTTAGATGACTGAGCTACATGGTTGGCTGAAAATAAACGCAGTTTTCGTCACAGTTGTTTTACCTAAAAGCCTGGTCGGTTAAATAAAAAAATATCTCATCCAAAAACGTGCAACAAGATGTTATTATTGTCCCAGGAGCTGCAGCGCTGTGTTCTTTAAATAAAGGAATGCAAACACAAGGTCATGCAACAGAATACCATTGGGACACAATCGTCCCCGTCCGGGATTTCACCTATCATATTCTCACAAAAGCCATTAAGCCCATCGAGACACTTTTAATGAACAGGATGTTTAAGAGTTGCGCTTGTTTTTCCCGGTGAACATTGGCATCAAAGGGAACCACCCGGATGGTGCACGGAAAACCAATTTCTGGTTGGTACGAAACCAACAAACTATGAGACAACAGGTGAGCTGCGGATCCGTTCGGTGCAGTGTCTCAGAATTATTGTAGACTCCATGGGCCAAGCAGGTGATAAAATGAAAATCTATTTTTTGGTAATACCCAGAAAGCCATGGAGCGAAATATGTTTTTGCTGGTGGCATAGAGTTTCATGACCAAAATGTACTTTTTTCCCGCAATGCAAAAAGCATTTTGACGGCTTCATGGAGGTAGGACAATATTAAACCCTAGCCAATCATAACTCTGATCCCCCGCGTTTGCGCCACCAAAATTTGCATGACGACTTTTAATCTGCCGTCTCCCTGATTATGCTAAAGATTTTACATGCAGGGATGGACTGCCGGATTTCGCTTACAGCACACATGGTCGGACGGCCGATATCCGCGCTACCTCTGATAAGGAAACTGCACACCTTATACTCACGTGCTCCAGGTGAGTTGCTTTACAGGCTCTCCCACAGAAAACTTCGTGTGTCTCGTCGGCATTTACAAAATCCTTGATGTTTCTTCTGCGCCAGGCTCCAGAGAAGCTCATGGGGTATTAATACATTTAGCTATAACTTGAAATTAGGACCCACTTTCGCTCTCAAAGCTCGGCCAGAATCAAGGACATATGATTTGTCACGGTAGAATCAAACAGTTGCTTAAGTGATGCGGCGGGTGGACACTTACAACAAGAGTCTTGGTCGTTCTAAGTAGACGAAACATTTCCACATTAGTGGCTACAATGTGCTGCAATCCTGAAAGTGATGGGGCTAATCCCACTTTGTTTAACCGTTTGTTTATAAGCCGTCAATCGTACATATTTTCCTTACGGTTGTAAACAAAATGATACCAGAGAACTGATGGATGGCCCGTTTGCCTACTTGGACAGAACCTAGCTGATCATCCCGTGGTTTGCACACTGCCTGTCATTAATGAATGCGCTCAGGTTACGGGCTTCGATTATTTTCTTGACCCTTAAGTGCTTTTAAAGTGGACCACAACACTTGTGGCACATCCAACCTTAACACTTTGTCGCTACTTCAGCCATTTTCGCACATGCATACGCCATAACTATTTTTCATGTCCGTTTATTAACTTTTTGTGAGTAGAGAAGGAGAAAAGCTCTGAAGTGCAACCTTCATCTTTCTCAGTTATTCCGGTTATCCTAACTTTTGCCAGTTGTCCTATCTTAATCGAGACTCCATAAACTATGGCCATAGATCACTTTATATAAATTAAAACGAAGTGTGATAAGTCACTCGCTTTTTGGCTCCAGCTTACCTGAATGGATGTGCCCTCTACAAAACCAAATTTTGTACCCACATGCCATGGTTTTGACGACTGTTGCAATTCAAACGGTAAAAGAAAGAACAAACTGAAGGGAAACTTAGAATCAAGATGGCAACAGTTACATAATAGGAAGTTTGCAACGGCAGGAAAAATGGCACTATAACAATGAGGCCGGACGAGCCCTAACCACTCGGTTATACATTACAGGCTTGTTTGAACTAAAGCTGGAAGCCATCTTTGAAGCAATACGAACATGAGCACCACGTCAACGGATAGTATTTTGGAATCCTTTAGTAGAGATTTTGGAGTGAATGAACACGCATGGAGCAAAGTGGCCCTCTGCAACTCAGAATTATAGCGTATCGTAAAACTGTAAGGACTTGCTGTTTGCTTCGCCGGTAATGCGTTGTTAAATCGTGTAACCGGATGGAAGCCACAGATTTTTGGACCAGAAGAGGTGAAGTTTCAGCAAAATACAGCCGCACTTAAGTGAGAGGCAGAAATCGCGAGCGGCGAAGCTTTAGTTTCGACAAACACAAGTCTACACAATGGACGAGTAAGCCGACGAAACCTTCTGGACCGGATGCAAAAACTTTTTCTTTTCAAGTTCTGAGCGCATTTTACCACCTACCCCTAACTTTTGCCGCCTTATTCATGGGCTAATTTGGATGTTTATTAATTAATCCTCCTGGTTTCAGCAATGCATGGTGTACCAAAAATTAATCAAATGTGATTAACGCATTTTTTGGGACTTGGAACGATTGTCCTTCGGATATGAGGTGTCTGAAAAATCCCCTCACGCCTTTTTGTCAGCCGCTAGCTTGGAGAACCCTTGGAAATCGATCAGATGGCCCTTGGTCTGTCGGCTGAGTTAAGCAGTTTTATTGCGTATGTTTACTCCTCTATTCTAATGGGAGTATTAAAAGCTTTGTTGTGAAATTGTTTGCTCTCTGTGTGCTTGTTCTTATAGAATTTGCGAAAAACAGCTCCTAACTGCAGCCTTATGGGTTATCGATACTCATTGTATTTGCATTCCAGTTGATCTAATCTAGATTGTGTTTCGTTGTGGTCTGTATTTGCTGCACCCAACTGCCACTGTGTTGCAACTATCGTGTATTATTTTCTGTTTCGGTTAGTCCATTCATACTCAGCATGGCGTATGGGTCTGCCTTCCTATGGGGTAACACCCATGTGCGTAACATGCAAATTGAATTAGTATTGGTTTTCACGGCCAGAAAATGCTATGCAGATGGACAAATGAAATAGGCAATTTGTGCAGAATTACGATGTGTGAAAATCTCCGGACGCTAGCACTTTGGTGATAAAATATTCACCGTTTCGAACTAAAGACCATTGCTGAGAATGGGTGATCCATATCAGGCGAGTAAATATTTAGGCCCACGGAACGCGTCAAATTGGGCAGTGTGTTGAATGTGCTCAACCCATAGATGAAAACTCTGTATCCCAAAATCTGGCGCGTAGCAAAACTGAACAAGCAAAGTGCTCTAGCTTTTGGGCGGTGGGTTCTTTGAGCGGGTGGACTGTTGCCTATATCATGATAACTTTTATCGGCCCTGTAAACTGAACAAACTAGATGGAGAAGAGTACACCAAAAAGGTGAACCAGAGTGACGGGTCGTGTGGATCAGGAGAGGAAGTTCAGAATTGGTGGTTCCGTTAGAAATGTCGCATTTTTTGTAATCGCATATGTGAGACTGAGAGAAAAGGAGATCAAATGTGCTATAGCTTTGGGTACGACATTATCATCCCTGACCTTTCACGGATTCCACGCTTCGAAGTCTGTTGGGCCCTATAACAGTGCCACGAACAAGATGGTTGCGCAAAGCTCAAAAACGTCCGAAAACACAAGCACATTGACTAGCCCAGTATAACCAGGTGGCCGGTCAATTGGATCGCCAGAAAAAACCCACGTAGTCCGAGAGCCAGGGGAGGAAAAAAGGATGCAATAATAGTCAACCAGGTGAATTCGAAAACCATGATTTTTGGGTAAAATCAAGGTTGTCGGTGATAATAAAAACCGAACCCAGAAAGGGTGCCTGTCAACTGAATGGCCTTATCGTCTTTGCGGACAGTGAACATTTCTTGAGCCAGATTCATGAAGCCTTTCGGGCAAAAGCGCTCCAGAAGGCCAGTTATTTAAATGAATATGATCAATAACATCAAGCTTAATCTTCAGAGCCTCCATAAAGACAACGCAAAGTTTACACTGGTTTTCTATAGGGCACCTGACGACAGATGAGCTCTAATAACGAATAAACTATACAGACCGTAAGGATGGTCCAAATACGCAACACAGTCACGGGTGCATAAGTTCGGTCACAAAATGGCTGAGTGATCTCAGTGTCAGATGATCCAGGCGACTGGAACAAGCAAACGCCAGTACATGAACACGAAGGTGGAACGGGGCTTTCAAATAGGGACGGAGGCAACGTGAGATATTCAGGCCATGCCATAACAATGAATTTTCGACGTGTAAAAACGTCTGTCATACCTGGATGCAATCGGCAAGCCTGAATATGAACTGCTATCTCCTGGCGTTCGGGTGACTTCATGTCAAAATGGTGCTACATATTTAGCCTGAATTCAGGAGATCATAGAGTCGCGTTGGTTCATCTGTTGTTTGTGGCATTTATAACTTTAAACGACTTGCTGTAAGTACTAGTAGAATTGGGACACTCCGATAGTGAATTTGGTATAATCTGTCATTATGTGGCGACAGGCATGTATTTGGTGTCCTAATGAGCCAAGACCATATCTGACAGCCACAAAGGAGTAACACTGGAGGGATACGCGCTAGGATTATTTAATCTCCATTTTATGGCCAAGATTTTGTTATTTCAATGGCTAGGAAACTTGGCTTAAATTTTTTAAATCCTCCAGATTTACTTTCGTTCCAAGCGTTAGAGGCTTCTCGTATTTCCGGTTGCATTTCCGGAAACTTTATAAGATTGACGCGAAGGAGGCGGTGATGAAACCGAAACATTTACGTGACTTTCTGGTGGAAGGCTTTCATCCAGTTCAGTGCGCCATCACAATTCTGTTTCAGCTTGCTACCACTTTGAGTTGACAGGCTTTTAAGTGGGTACGAGTATTGGCTGCCATGAATTAATTTTTCGAGCCTTAGAGGACTTGATTTCTTTTATTCTTGGACTAGGTAATCGGAACATTTCAGTTCTTTCCGATTTTGTGGGGCATATTTCGACGGTTGGGGCACAAAGTGCATTGGTGTGTGGAAATGTATGAAGAATCCTTGATTTGCAGAGCACACAAAACTGAAGCTTACACACAAATTCAGAACATTTTACTTTCTTTGAAAGATCCCGTGTTCATTCTGAGCTGTTCCGGCTTCGTTAAAACAATGAAAAAGCCAGTGTCACTGAGCTTATGCAGCAACTTGATAGTGACGTTGAGGTGCCTAAATCAGTTTTGTTCTGGCATATTTCACAGCCTTTGAAACTGGTGCATGCAACGCTGCTGCTTGGACTGCTTGGACTGCGGATAAACGGTGCAGACTTGCTTGATTCAATAGCCCTGTATTGTTTGCCTGGTTTTCTGAAGACTTCAGAAAACGTCTGGCAGCCGGGGTTCAATAATGTTCAAATGAAGAATAAAGCAGCTAACTGCTCCAAAACTCTACAGATCTGACAGCACTGGTTGGGACAATGAACTCTCGCGGTGGCAGTGTAGGTTCCGATAGGGGGCGCATCGATGTGGCGTCACCAGGTGCATAATAATAATAATTATTATTATAGTATTGTTTATTCCCATTTTGTGGGCGACACGTCATTCGTTGACGGCTAGAATAAAGCTTGACTGGAGGGATTCGCGGGTCCTGGAGATTGCGCGTAAAAGGGGAAAGTATCATAAACTGTGGGCAATATCCGATGAAATAATGATATATTCATCTCCCAAGCTGCAGGGAACATGCCGATTGAGGCATGATCGGGCCGTTACAACCTGAACGCGGTAGGCAACAGCGCAACGGAGAGGAAGGTTCAATCAACGTGAGAAGTCATCGCAATTGCGGGAACCGAAAAACTAGGAAAATTGGCGTGAGCTGTGACTAGTTTGGGGCTGAGGCTGGCTGACATGAACTTAAAGTGGGAACCATCGCTGGCCATGAGTATCCTTGGGCGGT